TTAAACATTTTTTAGAGTAATTGACCGTATCTCACCAGGTCAAATACTCCTCTGACTGAATTTGACAGGTCAATTGACCGACTTGCCAACCCTGACTTATACCAATCAATTTATGAAAATTAATTTTATGCTCATATTCGAGATCTACAAATCCCTGCTCGTATAAGCTTGGTCGACCCTATTTTAAAAATAATTCGAAAGGGCTAGGACAGGTGTAATTTTTAAAGAAAATTTGGGCCGGGCCGGGTCTGGCTTAAATTTTTAAATATGATATCACTCAATTTTATGGAATAAATTTATATTAAATTATTGCAAGAAACAAGTTGCCAATTTTTTTTTATTTATAGAATTTTTTTTACAATTAAAAAAATATAATTTCGGGCCTGTCACGACAAATTAGGCCCGATACAGATCACTATTTCATATACTGCTTTTATAAAATCAAGTAGTATTGATAGAGTTAATGTAATTTGTAGTAAAGATCATTTTACTCATTCGACTAATCTACTTACAAGATCTCTTAAAACTCACCATTAGTGATCTGCATCGGGCTTAATTTTTCAAGCCCGGCCCGAAATTTTTTTAAAAAGTTTGGCCCAGCCCGGCCCAAACCCGAAATTTTTTTTAAAAGGTTTTGCAGGCCCATTTTTAAATACATTAATTAATTTTTATAATTACTCAAAATAAACGATATATGTAATATGGCATCTAGTTTCTATAAATAAAATCAAATATTTTTATTTTACATAAAAAATTCAACATAAAATTGATAAATTTAGAAATATTAAAAAAAATTTCCAAGACCCGACCCGGCCCGAATTTTTAAAAAAATTATTAGACCTGACACAGCTCGAACTCGATTGGACCGGGCCTACTTTTGCAGATCTCTACCCACCATCCCATCAAGTAAGTGCTTATCAACAAACTTGACCAGCCTTTTAAACAAAATTCTTAAAGGTGAGACCCCACCCGATGTCAAACCTGTTTTATTTGGAGCACGACTAATAGCTCTAAATAAAGAAATGGTGGTATACTTCCAATTGCTGTTGGTTCATCATCCGTAGAGTAGCAGCAAAACTAATAAGTAACCGAATCATAGTCAATCTCAGTGCATTATTACAACCCCACCAACTAGGCTATGGGATAAAAATGGTTGTGCCGCCGCCTCCTACTCCATTCACATACTTGAAAATACAGATAACAACCTCTATATTTTGAAACTTGATTTTAATAATATCCTTAGAAATCTACCAATAGTCAGCTGTCAAATTTGACGATATTATTATCCAATCACAACAGACAAGATGATTTTTCTTAGGGATACAAAAGTAGTGGCTGAAATAAATACTCAATGTAAACTTGGTCTAAGCATCTGGTACCTAGATGATGGCACGTTGCTGGTTAACTATCCGAAATAGTGAAGGTTCCCATTACAATAAAAAAATTAGAACCAATAGCAGCACTATCAGTTAATACCAGCAAATGTGAACTTTGCTCTCCATCCATATCATCTCCCCAAGGAGAATTTTCTTTCGTACATACTAACAGATCCACACACACTTAGGAGTAGAGATCTGCAAAGGTAAGCCCGGCCTGTACCCGGCCCGAACGGGTTTTGGGGCCGGGCTCGGGCCTAATATTTAAAATTTGGGCCGGGTCGGTCGGACCTTGGAATTTTTTTTAATTATATCTAAATTTATCAATTTTATATTAAATTGATTATGAAAAATAAAAATATTTGATTTTATCTATTGAAATTAAACGACATATAACATATGTCTTTTATTTTAAGTTTATAAAAATTAATTTCTATATTTAAATAAATCTGTATAGTTAAATTTTATTTTACTTTCATTATTATTGTAAAGTCTTATTTTTATTATATATCTATTAATATTTTTTTTCACCTTTTTAAAAAAATATATATTTAAAACTAAATTATTTTTAAAAAAGACGGTAGAGGGGGATTAAAAAATTGTTTTGTCGGACATAAAGATGGAGATAAAATTAGATCTACATATCTCAAGAGATATTCTTTGTCTGAGATATAAATTTTCTTTAGGATCTCCAGTGATTGTTGCCAACTCGGGTACGGGCCGGGCTTACAAAACATTATAAAAAAAATTTGGGGTAGGCTCGATGCAGATCACTACTTAGGAGCCCTTATTGGTGGAACTGAAGTAGTTATCTCCATTTTAAACAATTTTATATCAACAACGCAAGAACTAAGATCATTATTCTTATTTCTGTTACCTCATCATTCATTAAAAAATTCTTTATATTCCTAAAATCTTTCGTTTACTCAGATCTACAGAAGTCTTCACACATCTTGATCAATTATTCTCTCTTAAAAACACAATCAAGGACTGTTTAGCAGAAGTTTTAAACATCAAATTATCCTCCCCTTATATGGGTGCAAGATTCCCTTCCTTCTAAAACCGGGTATTGGAATCCGATCCCAATTTCTTTATCACTTGCAGCTTTCATTTCTTCTCACTCTTGCCTCTCATCCAATGAGTTAATAAACAAATTAACATTCTTTATAGACCAAGATCTCCAAACAGCTTACCCATATGAGACAATAATATATTGTCCAACACACTTCGCTCAATAAGCGTCCTCGAAAAAGACTGTGACTCTCCTCTGATTGCATGTTCCGTTGATTTTATCCTTTCTAACCCGCAATCAGAACTTCCCAATTTGCATTTATCAAAACACAATGGATGCGAATGGCTTGTGGCAACCCCCAGTCAAAATTTAGATAAATACCTCTCTCCTCAGTTTGACAGTAAAGTTCATCACTCCTTACACTGTAATTTTCTAAAGACAGGCACTCCCGTCACTCGCCAATTAACAACTTAATAGGCGCTTCTATTAGCCAACATCCTTCCATCTTAGAACCAATTGAATTAAGTACCTCTGACCCAGACGGTAAGGACAATCCTTGGTATGGGATTGTATCTGTATAGATGCGCTTGTAAAATCAAACACAATACTCATCCATTGCGGGCTCCGAATCATTCAAACGTAACAAATATTCGCAATTAGAAAATATACTTGTCTACCTTTTGTTATTACCCTATTAGGGAACTTCGGCGAGGATGCAATTCTCTTTTTAAAAACTAACCTTAGGTAAAAAGTTGGAAACAATCACTGGAGATCCTAAAGAAAATTTATATCTCAGACAAATCTAATTTTATCTCCATCTTCGACTATATGTCCGACAAAACAATTTTTTAATCCCCCTCAACTGTTTTTTTTAAAATAATTTAGTTATATAATTTTAAATATATTTTTTTTTAAAAAGGTGAAAAAAATTATTAATAGATATATATTAAAAATAATACTTTACAATAATAATGAAAGTAAAATAAAATTTAACTATACATAAATTCTAAATTAATAAAAAAAAATACAAAAAAAAAAATTTTCTAATATGTAAAAAAATTAATTGAATTAGTTTAAGGGCAAAGGTGTGTTTAATTTTAAAATACTATTTAATAAAATCGAACAGATAAAATTATAAACTTTGAAATATTATAATTTAATGTTGGAGTTTATATAAATAAAGTTGAAGTTTCCCAACGATCATGTAAATATGAATTTGATTATCATGAAGGATAAAAGGCATGAGAAGTTTTAAGAAAATTTCATATTATTATGCCCATTAAAAATTGATATGCTTATTATTATTATATAGTTGTTCTCTTCCTTTTAGCAGATTCATTGATCAGGAATATAAAGCTAAGATAGGTTCTGACATTATTCAGTAGCATCTTCTTTTGCCCTATGTGGGGTACCTCGTTTGAATAATCTGTCTTAGCTATGATCCGCTACCCTGACTCTTTAAAAAAGGCTTCCAATATATATAAATGGAAACCATAAGTATTAATTTTATTATATTATTGGGTTATTAATATCAAATAATAAATATTTTGTTTGGAATAACCGAAACTAGGCACTGGCTAAGGTCGGGCATTAATTGTATAATCAATCATTAACATAAATGACTCATGTAACTAAAAATTTGCTATTTTTTTAAATATCATTTTTAGCTAATAAAAATTTCCCCTCTCCAACCCCTCCTTTCTTCTTTCCTAAAAATAATACAATATAATCATTTAAGAAGGGTCAAAATCGAAAAAATATTTTTATCAAATCCCGAGATTTGTTCTTCCTTTTTTTACAAGTTTTTATGACATGAACTAATATGAATAAAATTTTAAAGGGCCATTAGAAGGTAGATGGATGGTAGAATTTTAACATTCCTTTGAATAATGATAAAAACGAGAAAACAAATAATATATAATTCTCATTATCCAATAAATTACCACAAAATAATATAAAAAATTTAATCAATCAAAAAAAAAATATGAAACAAAAAATAAAAAATAACTTTTTATCATTTGATAGATTTTTTGGATGGAAACTAAAAATTAAAGCCATTTTTATCGATTTTTTTATAATATTCATTTTTAAGGCTTTCCCCCTCTTTTTTATATAGAAAGTTTCACTTCATTGCCGGTGTACTTTTTTTTTTATATTTGTAAATTAGGTCAAAAAAATACAATTGTCCTTTATATGAGTGAAAGAAAGAATGAAGGCCCAGGATATTATATTAAAAAAAATTGTCTTGATGTTATTTAAAATATGCAATATCTTTCAATGCTACTATTTCATTTTTCGTCAAAATTATGAGATGAATTTACTATTCATTTATCATCTCTTATACTATGATACAAACTAGTGATCCGCATCGAGCCTAATTCAAGCCCGACCCGGCCCTAATTTTTTTTTAAATTTGTCCTGCCCGATCTCGAACGAATTTTTTTATATTTATCCCGAAAAGCCCGGCCAGAAATTAAAATAAACATTATTTGTCCACAAGGCCCGAATTTATTTAGATATAGAATAAACTACTTCCAAATTCCAAAAATTATATACCAAAGAAGTTTAAAAAAATTATTTAAAAAAATAAACTTAAATTTTTTATTTTGAAGAAATTTATCAAATTGAAACAAGAATTCGTTGAAGAACAAATCCTGTATAATCATCCAATATATAGGTAATTTTTTTTTCCAATCAATTGATAACTTTTATAATGTAAATATTTCCCTCATTGAAGTCGAATCAAAAAGCCAATTATATATAGTATCCCTAACAACCACCATTTCTTTTAATTAAAAACGAATGCACATTACGTTATACATCCCTAGTTTATAATAATAGGAACAGCCCTGCATCTATCTGAAAAAAAAATAAATGAAATATAAATCCTTCTTGGGTGCATACCGTAAATTAGTAAATATATCATATGCGACATAAATAATTATCTTTTTAAGGGTATTTTATGTTTCTCACGATTCCCAAGATCTCAAGATTTTTAGTTATATAGCGAGAGATTGCGGTACGAACCATTTTAAATGTAACGTCTTTAAAGCTGATAAAAAGGTTTAATTTTCATTTGACATTTCTTTAAAATTACTTGGTATTATGGATTTAATCTTTAATACTTTTTTTAAATGTAAAATTTTTATTTGTGATCAAAAGACCGGACAGTATTAAATTGTTTTTTAAATAAATAAAAATAGAATCAAGCAATGTTAATAGTTAGAACGATAGGGCAAGCCTTCGAAGTTTGTCACAAATTCGCATGCGAAAAAGATTACAAATCCTCAAAAGACATAACTCCTATTACGATCGACAAAAAATCAGACAAATGTCGCGACAAACCTCTAATGGTACCTGAAGAGGGCGACTTTAAGGTGGATAATGCGTGTAAATTAGGTGCCTCTATGAATAGCATAACATTTGAAAAAGTGCATATGAGAGGTTTATAACATTTTAAAATTTTTTAGAATAGTTTTTATTAAGAAAATTTTGCAGTTTTAGACATCCATAATATATATTCAAGGAGAAAAAATATGCGAGATAAACCTTAAACCAATATAATTTCTTAAATTCATATTTAGGCCTCATTTATAGTAAACGCAAAAATAACGAGACACCATAACTCGATACTTAAATTACAAAATTAATAATACAACTATTCTAATGTTTATCGATGATAATTCACTTAAACATCATTGCGTTTATTATAAATGAGGATAAATAAAAGTATATTGAGAGTATGGAGGAGACTAATTTTGACTAGGTTTAGATATCAGGAGGACAATAATAATGATATCAAATAAAGATTATTTAATATAGTGATTTATCTTACATAACATTGATATATTATATATAGGAAAAAAAATAATCTCATATATTTTCAATCAGCTTATTATTATAATCTACACTTCCATGTTATGAAAACCAAATCGATAAATCCCATTTATTTTGTTTTTACCTACTTATTAGACAGCGGTTTATCGGGCTATTCAATGATCAGTGATTCTTTTGTCCATATATCTTCAATTGAAAAGGACCAAGTAAATGTAATAACTTTAATTAGTGTCATAAAATAAACGACATGGAAGAATATTTCGGATCAAAACTTGGGGATGCGAGATATTTTTCAACCCACTTTCTTAACGACCTGAGTTACAATTTTGAACAGGATTTTTGCATAAACTAGCTTAAAATATTCTACTTCCTTTTTCGCAATTAAAAATTTAGGGTTTAATGGATTATCTTAATTCATTATTAAATTTTTTGAGCAAAATGTGTTCAAATTATGTGATATTAAATATTTATTTTACCAAAAAATTTAAATCCTTATTTCAACGAAATCGGTAAAAAAAAAAATAAGTGCTTAAGAATAATAAATAATTTTGTGATTATTCTTGAAAATAATTTTTATATTATTATAAAACAAAATAATTTTAAAAAAAATTGAGGTCCGATTAGGTCAGAAGAAAATTTAAACATCAAGATTCGATTCTATTGAGTCCGACCGACCCGAGTTTAATTGAATGGGACCTTGCTGGGTTCTATTTTTAGGAGAACTATTTTTTTAATCACCTTAGAATATTTATGAATAATTTGCTTAAGATTTTTTTTTCATAATCATATTTAAAAGTATTTTCTTTCTTTCTCGTTAATTTATAAATCACGTCTTACTCACAGTCACAATTGATATTTAATCACCATTTTATGTTTAAATTTTATTAATTTTTTTTTTAATTACACTCATTTATTTATTTCAAAAAAAAAGGATACCTGCATAAATGACAAAGAAGACTCTGGATCTTACAGCAAAACATTATCCTCCCCAGAGGACGATGATTTGTTTGAGGACATGGATGATAATCAGATTTCCCATCTATTTTTGCTGAGTCAGCATTTGAAGCGCTATAAACATAAATTGCAAATGGCTCACGCCCAAATCAAATTTCTGAGAGAAAAACTAAATCTCGAAACTAATGCCAGAAGAGAAACTCAAGTTTTTTTTTAATTTATTTTTTATTTTTTAGAAAACCAATTACCTTAACTCCTGTAATTTAAAGATGATTAGAGAAAAATATATCGTGATATTAGGATTTAGGACTTTGAGGATTCTTGATAAAACCTGATCACAAATAATTTAAAGAGTTGGATTATTATAGTATTCTGCATATCCAAATTTAGAAATTTTCAGAAATGGATTTTATTTGTTTTAAAATATAACAAGTTATAAATTTAAAAAAAATTAATTTCATTTTTTGAATTTATTTTAATTATAAAAAATTGTATAAGGAGATAAAATAAAGGGGCACATTAGTATCATTATTAACTGGATTCTTATTTTAATTTAATCTTAGTCGTCTTATCCAGAACAGAACTTTACCATACATGTTAATGAGATACCTAAATTACCTTCCCATGTGCCGCTATTTTTAAAGTGAAAATATGATATATGTGGCAATTTATATTGCCTTGCCAGCAAAAACCTATTTAAAATCAATTTTTGAGGTTCTTTTCAAATTGAAAGAAAGATGGTCTGGTCGAGATTTATAAGCTACATGCACAATGTTATCCTATTTATCTAAATTAACTAAAATATGAAAATAAATAATGAAATCTAATCACTAAATATTAATTTATATTCTCCTCATAATTTACAGGTCAGAGTAAATCAATTATTTAAACAGAACGAGGAATTGCTCCAACAAATCCAACAGTTTTTTAAAATCATGAAGGAAAACAATCTTATAAAAGGATCGATAGTTTTTACAGATAAAAAAGTTACTCATTTATGTAAAATTTATACTTAGTTGATTTAAAAACATAATTATGCGAACATATTTATATAACTTCTATTTTATGTGGGCTCATTTTCCTCTTTCTTTATTTTTTACTTTTCTTCTTTCCTTACTTATATAAAAATTATTTTATTATAGATAGGCTTGAAAATAGGGAATTCCATTTAAGGTTTTGTTATTATTTTTAATGTACTAATCAATAAAGGGACCTGGATGTCATTTTTAGTTTCTTTTAATTATAGATTTTAATCTAATATAGTGATATAGTTAAAATACGTTTAAAGGTGTAGGAGAGACAGGGGCTAGTAGAACCGATTTTTGCAAAATCGCGATGGCTCTTTTTGGAATTATAAAAAATAATATATGAATAGATACCTATAACTATACTCTGGTGCCTTATAAAAAATTTTAAGTATATTTTTGAAATTTTATTTTTTGTAAAAGTGGAAATTTTGTCCAACAAGCCCCAATAGCGGGGTTAGGCAAACCGCTGGCCTTCCTAAAACATTGGTTTTCTTAGCCTATCAAAAGCATTTTTATTTATTAATAATGATACGTATAGAATAATTTTATTGTTCAAAATATACTAATAAATTGAAGCTAATTATATATAAAAATTGAAACTTAATTTTGGTTAATATAATAAACATTTTGAAAATATAAAAAATTTATCGAAGTTTAAACATGTACATGTGCCCATCATTGGAACATTCTTCATTGGTATACTCTTTGCCGTTATGGTGTTCTATATTACGATAAAGACAAATATCTTTGTTAATATTTTTTTTACTTTTTTTTTTTGCAAATATTTCACTTTCTATCTCTTATAATATCTCATAAAGTTTGATCTAATGCCAAATAAAATATTAGATTATATTAATTTAAACTTAAATACTAATTTTATAATTTTATACTTCATCATAATTTTGATCTATCAAATGTTAAAATACAAGAACTTAAAATTTATAAATAACATTTATAAATAATATTCTAATCTCTTTACCATACCATTTAGATTTTTATTTACATAATCTCTATATTAAATATGGCTAAAATTTGATTATATTGTTTAAAAATTACATAAAATTATTGTGATTATATTTTAAAAATAAGTCAGATAATGTAGATAAATTTATATGTTAGTTAGCAAGTGATCCTTGTTGATTTACAATCTTCATATTAGATATCTGCAAAAGTAGGTTAGGGTGGGTTGGGCCTAATATTTTTTTAAAAAAATTCGAACTTGGTCGGACCTTGGAAATTTTTTAAAATATATTAAATTTATCAATTTTAAGTTTAATTTTTTATGTAAAATAAAAATATTTTATTTTATTTATGGAAACGAGACGCCATATAACATAAAATTTATTTTGAGTAGTTATATCTATATATAAATAAATTCAGGCTGGGCCTGTAAATTGTTATTTAAAAAAAATTCTGGTTCGGGCTGGGCCGGTAAAACTTTTTTAAAAATTCGGGCCGGGGCGGGGTAAAAAATTAGGCCTGATGCAGATCACTACTTTATATACCTTAATAGCCCAGACATGTAACCAATGAGGGAGGGAGGGAGGGAAATCCCCCCACTATCGCAAATTTCCGTTTTCGTAAATATTATTTTAAGCTAATAATAATTGACCCCTTCACCCCCCCCCCCACTCTCTCTAATATAAAACAAAAGCCTACAATAAGTGGACTTAAATATCTCCAACAAAATTTATGGGGAAAATATTTAGTGCTCCCCCCTCCCATAGCAAAATAGTGGATACGCAGTATAATAACATAAAATTATATTATAATATCAATTCATTAAATTTTGGTATACTTTCGTAATTTTATTTAAAATTTAATTTAAATATTAATGATTATATATTTTGATAAAAATGAAAATTCTGTCATATAAAATCTTTTAAATTTTTCACCAAATTTTATTTATCAAAAGATTTTTTATAGATGACACTAATAAAAGAGATATGATAAAATTTTAAACTTCTGATGTATTTTATTTTAAAATGAGATTAAGTTAGCTGTCAACCCCGCGGTTTGCCTAACCGCGGTCTCCCCTACTTATCCCTGTTTTTTAAATCTACAATTTTACTATTCAGAATAGCTTTTTTAATTACAAAAGAAAAATAACTAGCCAGGACAGAGTCAACATTATAGAGCTCCTGTTTTACGAATTAAGCATTTTATTTATTCGAATAATATTTAAATATAAAACCAGGTTATTATTTATTATTCGTTTTATATGAATATTAATTTCAACAAATATATTCGAATATTTTTTAAAAAATTAAGTCCTATCATTACCATATAATATTCAGAATGTTGCGTGATATTTTTAAAAGGTTTATTTAATGTTTGAATTTAAATTTTTTTAAAATCTCTAACTAAATTTTGGAACCAGAGCTTGGAACCAGGTCAAATCTAAGAAAGTAAAGAAGAATAATTTATTTAAAGAAACTTAAAAACCGGAGGCAGAAATTAGAACCTTTTTTATATTAAACTTCACTCTAGTTGAAATATAATAATATTATATTTGTAATATAAAAAAGTCTAAACTAATATTTAATCTGTCACAAAAACCCCTTGAGAAACATTAATAATTAAAATATCATACTTAAAATATAAGCTCTGTGATGTAGATTAGAGACCTGCATATCATTTTTTCAGCATGAGTCTACCCGCGACTAGGTGATAAAAAAATTTTAGACCTCTGAATTTTAAAAAAAGCTTATAGAGAAATCTAATTCAAAATATCTATTTTATTCTTTTAATGTTATACAATTAATTAAAATATTCCCCAATAAATTTAATATTTTAATAATGTCTAGCTATTTCATTCTATTTATTACTAACTTTTTTCAATTTCTTATGCCATTTGAATTTGTTTTATTGTGATAATTAATGAGGCAAAGAAAAAAAGAATAAGAAGAAAATAAAATATTAATATTTTTTGGGTTATGGCCGGGTCTGTATTGATAAAGTCACTCCAGGCAAAACTGACGGGTCAATTCTGCAGAACTCAAATATAAATAATATAGTTCACATCTTAAAAAATTAAATGCTAAACAATAAAATTTTATTTATTTATTTTTACTATTTGAATAATATTCGTGAATATTAAAATGAAATTATTTGAATCAAAGACCTTCATGGGCAGGCCGACCGGCAGACTAGAGTATGCGCTTAATATTACATTTTCTAGTATGCCTGAGACGGGCCGGGGTATTTGAAACAAATTTTAATAAGCCAGAATACGGCTTGGGCCTAAAATTAATTTTATTTAAACTTATCATATTTAAAACAGTTGTTGATTTTTAAAAAATATTGCAATTATTTTTTAAAATGAATTTCAGTATTGCAAACACAATGATTGCCTAAATCCACTGAAATATTTTTTATTTTCATGTGAATACAATAAATTAAATATTTGGATATTAATATTAAATATGGGCCGGGCCTATAAAAATTTTATACTGCGGGCTTAGGCTGGGCCTGATCAAAAATTCAGACTTGTAGTCTCTGGTTTAAATACGAATAAAAATGCTCCACCTTCAGCCTCATCGTGGCGTGGGAAGGGGGGCTCTTTTGGCGGCTAAAGGAGTTTTAATAGGTTCACTGTGGTCTGGGTCTAGAATAGTGAAGGTCATGATAAACATATTTTTTAACCTAATTTGATTTGTTTTATCATTTTATTAAATATAAGAGTATTATATAAACAATAAAATTTATCCAATGGTATTGAAAAAAATGATTTTGTGCTTGTAGAGGGCATATTAAAATTAAGAGTAGATTGTGTTTTTTGAGATATTTTCATTTTCATCATTAGAAGTATATATTTTATGTTTTATCAGATGTCTGCTTAAGGTACCTAATTATTTTATTAAGAATAAGGTTAAGTAATTTTTACAATAAATTATACAAACAGTTTCTTTAAAAAAAATAGAACTATATAATAACTAAAATATTTTAATAATATTATTGCTTATTTTGATTAATTTATTGCTTAAAAAATTATAAACAATTATTTTGTTACTAGGTGCTGACGATACATTAAATTTGGTACTGCAGTGAACACATACTCTATGTTTTTATTGGGACTATAAGTAAAATGTTTCTTGGACAAACTTATGGTTTTCATATTGTAAAATAAAAATTAACAAAATCTAAAATGACTCCTCTAGAAAAATATCATAAAATAAAATATACAAAAAAATTATATTAATTGTATAGTAAAGCAAACTTAAACAATAATAAAAGACCGGTCCGGACCGCGGTCTGAACCGTAAAAAAATAAAAAGACCGGTCCGGACCACGGTCCTCAAGAAAAAGATCGGTCCGACAATTGGTCCTGTCCGATCCCGGTCTAAGACCGATAGGACCGGACCGTTGACCTTCACTAGTCTAGAATATGATCACAGTCTCTCGACGGAGTATAAAAACCACCTAAAGGAGCTGATGTCAGGAAGGGTATCCGATTGTAAAAAATAGCTTCAAAACCCCTAATGCACAACTAATAAATCTAAACATTTGGATATTATTCCAATTCTTCAAATATTCCTTAGAAGTAGTGGTGGCGTCACTAGTATCTTTCATTTGGTATGTCTATGGTAGGCCCAATGTATATATTTATTTGGGAAGAGTTGGGTGGGGGGAATCTAGCTTTAACTTCTAAAATTGTCTGAATTCTATATAAGTTTTTAATCAAATAGTGTGCTTTTTCAGAAACACGACTTTTTTAAAATATAGTTGATTTCATATATATTTATCTTAAATAAATTTAAACCCACCGTCTGTTTAGTGTATAGGTACGGGCGCGAATACATTTAACCATAGTTTTCTCACTTACTCTAGCCTTCTCACAGTTTTTTTTATCTCACACACCTTGTATTGTCTAATATGAATATTAAAAAAATTGAACTAACCCTAGCCTTATCATATAAACTAACCCTAGCCCACATCAAGCCCTAGTATATACCATATTTAGTTTGGTTTACAAGCAATTTAATGTTAAAATTGGAAAATTACGTAAAATCAAATAAGAAATATATAATTTATGGCTAACAATCCAATTACCAAGTTTTTATATAAATTTGATTATATACTAGTGATCTGCATCGGGCCTAATTTTTCAAGCCCGGCCCGGCCTGAAATTTTTTTATAAAGTTTTGCCCGGCCCGAAATTTTTTATTTAAATATAGAAATTAATTTTTATAATTACTCAAAATAAACGATATATGTTATTTGGCACATACTTTCTATAAATAAAATCACATATTTTTATTTTACATAAAAAAATTCAACGTAAAATTGATAAATTTAGATATATTTTAAAAAAATTTTACCGACCCGACCTGAATTTTCTTAAAAAATATTAGGAGGCCCGAAACCCGTTCGGGCAGGGTAGATCTCTATTATATACCATTCCTTATATTATATACTGTTTTAGGTTAAGACGTTCAAATGCGATTACAAGATATGCCCAGATAGAATTTCTAATAAAAATACCCCCAACAAAAATTTGTCGCCTCTCCCACCTACCTTGGCTATAGATGAGAAATTTAAGAATGATGTAAATAATGATCCCAAGGAGGAAAATTGTGCCTGCCTTCCTAAATATGAATCGAACATAGTTATGAAAGCACCCCAAAGCCATCTCGAACATAGCGACCATGAGTTTTATGGCTGTAACCCTTATTTAAGAACTTCCATCGACTTCAACAATCCAGATTCACCAGGCCGATACACTAGCACCCCTTTTAAAATATATCGTAATAGCAAATTATCGCCTCAAAGGAATTATCCTATTCACAATAACGGTATCTCGAATCACGAAGTGGATACGATGAAATATATATACAAAGCAAATTTGACGCCAGATAAAAAGGTAGAAATAAGCTGCGCCGAATGCTCATCGTTGAATCAAGTCAAAAAATTATCCGCTCCCACGATTTATAGTAAATCAACCATCGCTATAAACTCAGGCTTAGGAATAGATAGCGGTAAAGATTTGTCGAAGGAAAAACCATTAGCATCAACCCAATTTGCCGATTTTACAATTTTCGGTGTTCCAAGCCCTAAAAAAACCCAGGCTGAACAACGTCTTTCCAATCAAGATATCGGCGGGGAAGAACTCAATCTATTCGATATCTTTAATATCAAAAATAATAGAAGCACTAGTGATGCACAGTCCAAAAAATGGGTTGCGAAAGGATTAGTTAAGCCAGCTCCGGGATTAAGTGGATTACAATTGGCAGCCGATTCTTACAGCAAGAATGAAAATTCAAATTTTGAGTGGATTTCTGGACAAGATCTAAAATGGGATCCCAATCATCGTTTAAACGATCAATTCAACGAATTCGTATCGGCTCCATATAATAATGGCACGGAGTGTGGCGATAAGTTACCAGAGGAAGATCACATGATTTCGTTTACTTCGTCGCAATTTAGGTGCTTATTACTGGCACCTCAATAAAAATATTTTGTTAAAACGGAAATGAAAACAAGAAAAATATTAAATAATTTGTTCCCTGAATTTTAAACTTTGAATTTATTTATCTTGATAAGTTTTCAGGAGAAATCATAATTGTTAATATTTTTTAATTCCTTTATTAAATTTTTCCCAAACCCTCTTGAATCGTTAAAAATTTTTAATATAAACCCAGATATCAATAATATGGCCGGATAGAATAATAGTATGGCTCTTCGTTATTTGTTTTAAAATACCTTTTAATTTTAGTAACAAACAAAAAAGGATAATAATATTATTTTTTAAATAATGTAACAAATATATTTTGTAATTAAACTTTTGATTTCGTTATCTGTTTTTCCCCCTGAATTATCACATTATAATTATCATATTATAATGCCTTATTATAATATTGAAATTGGTTTACTAAATTATTATAACTTTTCAATTTGTTAACTTTCTTTTTTATAAAAATAAATAAATGTTTTATTATTACAAATTAATTTGGCCTTATTAAACGTTTCTACTTACGATTTTTGAGAGAACTATATGGATTTATATTTCCCGTCTACTGAATTTTTTAAACAGAAAGCCAAATTATATAAAAATGCTTTCTTTTGCTAAAATATAAATTTACAAGTGGGAATTCTATTTTCTCTTACCATATCCTTATTGAATTTAAAATTATAATTTCAATTTATAAAATAAGAATAAGATACAATATAAACAATATCAAAATAAAATAGATTGTTAAAAATAATTGTACTGTGCATTTATAACAAAACATATTAATACTATTCATGCATTTTAATTGATATTACTTCAAAAGGAAGAGTCTAAATTAAAATGTTATTCAAATTATCATGCATGTTGTTGACTCGGTGTCGCACCATCCCTTTTTAAAATATTAGCACCTTTTTTAAAAAATAGCATTCGATTCTTTAGTAAAGGTTACTTCAAAAAGAACTAGTGTTGTTAATCGACTGAGTCGAAGTTTTGGGTCGAAAAAATCGACCCAAACTGACTTGAGTTATGAACTCGAGTCGACTCAAGTCGTGAACTCAAGTCGACTCAAGTCGTGAACAAGTCGACTCAAGTCGTGAACTCAAGTCTATATACTTGAGTCGACTAGAGGACGAATATTTTTATAAACTTGAGTCGTCGACTAGAGGACGAATATTTTATAATAATTATTAATAATTAAGATTTGTTCTGTTTTTTACATTTTTTTATTTTAGACTTCCAACTTGAGATTTAAATAGGAATTATATACTTTAGTCAACTAGAGGACGAATAGTTCTATGAACTTGATTCGACTAGAGGAAGAATATTTCAAATTAGTTATTATTAATTAAGATATTTGTTGTTTATTACTTTTTTTATTTTAAACTTCCAACTTGAGTTGCAAATAGGAATTATATACTTGAGTCTACTAGAGGACAAATAGTTTTCTATGAACTAGAGTCGACTAGAGGACGAATATTTCAAATTAGTTTTTATTTATTAAGATATTTGTTCTGTTTTTTACATTTATTTACTTTAGACTTCCAACTTGAGTTATGAATACAAAATATATATTTGAGTCGACTAGAGGACGAATAGTTATACTTATATGATATAAACGTGATTCGACTAGAGGACGAATATTTCAAATTTTATTAATTAAGATATTTGTGATCTATTTTTTACATTTATTTACTTTAGACTTTCAACTTGACCATGAATACGAAATATATAATTGAGTCGACTAGAGGACGAATATTTCAAATTAGTTATTATTAATTAATTTATTTGTTCTGTTTTTACACAGGATAATTATAATGATCAATATTGTTTGTTAGCTGTTTTAATTTTCCACCTATTAAAATAAGCTTAAAATTTTAATGTAATGTGCAGATACACATGGTATGTGTACCTGGACCACCTGCTAAAACACAGTTTTTAGGTCGTAAGAAAGCAAATCTACTCAGACCTAACTGTATATCGTTATGAGTCTCTCTAAAGTGAATGAAAAGTTCTTTAATATTACATAAAATTAGCCTTTTCTGCACTTGATATTTTCCTATTTACATATAAAATTATTTTTGCCTGCATAAGTAGTGTTGTTAATTGGTTGGTTGTGTAGAGCCCAGACCCGGTGTTTGGGTCTAAAATATCGACAAAACCAGCTCTGAGCACGAACCCCGAGCACAGACCCCGCGTTCAGACCCAAGGTCCAGATCCGGATAGATGGCACAAAGGTTTAGACATCTATTATCGAAAACTCGATGCTTAGACAATTGTTTTCTGGTTAAAATATTGATTTAGCCTTTTTTTTAAATCGGCTCAAAAAGAGCCGTTTAACAACACTAATGGAAATCCTGTTCACATTATTTAATAAATATATATTTTATTATATCATTGAAAACAAACTCCCTTTTTTGCTTAAAAATACAGCTAAAGCATTATAGGTAAACCGAATGTTAAAGACTCAATTTAGCGCCAATTTTTATTATTTTTTGATAGCCCTTTAGAGAATATTTTTACTTACAATATGATATATAATTAGTTTTTGAGATATAAGCATTTTAAAAATTTTACAGATTTGAGCCCCTATATCTCAAGAACCAGGTGTTATAGCGAGCTAAAATAAACGGCTTTCTCATTTATTTACCCTTCTAAATAATTCCAGAAAAAATGAAATAAAGGCTGGATAAAATTTAATTTTAACTATTTTATATAATTATTTTTTTTGCAAAGTCCTGTCTGATACATTTTTTATATTTTTTATTTATTTTATAAACAGACAAAGTTAGATCATGTTTTTTTTTCAAATAATATATTATTTTTTGTTTATAAATTTTTTTTGTACATGATAAGAATTTATTTTTTAGGTATAGAAATTAAAATATAAATCATTTTTGGTTGTTGCTATTGTATTATTTTTTTATAATATTTTTTATTTAAAAAAAAAAACTTTTCTATAATTCAAAGATTCAAACATTAATAAATCTAAGAAGTAATTATGGTCTAATCAACAAATTCTTGAATAATATAAGAGATATATAAAATAGTGATGTTTTGGATGGCCTGATTAAGATTTTAGCCAAATTAATATTATGCAAGATTGGAGATTTGGCAAATAGAGGTAAAAACCTTTCTGCCATATATGTGTAAAATCTACAGGTTTACAAAATATAATTTTGGTAATCTTAATTGGGCCGTTCAACAATGCTAATATAAAACAGCTAAAAATTTATTATTAATACTTTCTAATTTTCGTGAAGAGCTTAAATTCGAGCATAAATTTATTTGATCAAAATTATTCCTCAATAATTTAAAAGAGATATAGAACTTAGCTAAAAAGTTATCTAATATTTTTTAATTTTCAAGAAGACTCTTATTTAGGACATAAATTATTTCTTCTGCTTAATTAAATTTCCTCAATAAAAAAAAGTTTTTAAATTTAATATTCTTATTTAAAATTTTTTACATAAAAATAAAAAAAATTCTTTGAATCTCCTACAAAAATACGAATCAAATCAAATATTTACATATTCGTGTTTTCGAATCGAATAATTATATTATTCGTATTAGTACGAATTAAATAATTCGTATAATGAAAACATTATTGGATTTGATTCATCGAATATTCGATGCCAAAAATTAAATTCTTCAAAAATATATTCAAAAAGGATATTAAAATTTAATAAGTGATTTATAGATGTTGAAAAAAAATATAAAAACTTTTCAAGGAACTTTTAAATACTTAAGAATCATGTCAAATATTTCTGGGTTTGAATATTTCTGAATAATTTGAAATATTAACAAATAATTTGGAATATTTAATTACGAATAATTTCTATAATTTATAAATTATTTCAAATAATAATAATTCGATCGAATAATAAATAGATAAAAAAAAATATTCCACAGACACAGATAATATATTTTCTTTATTCGATTCGAATCAAATAATTCTTTTATTCATAAAATACGAATCTTATGAAATAAAATCGAATAGTGAATAATTCGTTTTAGGTATAATTTTATTTTTTGTTAAATTTTACTCAATTTTCTACAAAAGAAAATGATGATATTAAAGTTCGAATCCAATATACTAATACAGAATTTTATTTAAAAAAAATAGGGGTTTTGAAATCTTTATGATTCTAAAACGAGAAACGATTATATTTTCTTTAAAATAATTCTTTGTATTACACAATATTTATTTATTTTGTAAACATAAAATAACTTTTAAACATAATACGATACAATATATATAAATAAAATATTTTATATATTATATCTCTAAATCCCTCCTTCCTCCGTCTCTCTCTCCTCTCCCATTATTGTTATTATTCTTATTCTTAAGCTTATTTTTTTTAAAATATTATATTTCTTATTGTTATTTATTAGTTTGATTTTGCGCCTAGCTGGCACCACTAATTTTTTGTATATTTTTTTTTACAATTACTAAAATAAATAACTCACATTTTAAACTTTTTATTAATTATATTTTTTTATAATAAAATTTTAATATAATAAAAAAAAAATAACTTAATGCATCGGCATTTATATTATAAAAATTTTTAAAAATAATTTTTTTTAAAAAAAATTCCCTCCTCTACCACAATTTCGTAAATTTCCCCCTTTTTATTTTTGGTAAATTTTTTAAAAATAATTAATTTTTTGATATATGATCTTTCTGGAATGATTTTTAAGAATTTTATTTAAAATTGTTAAGAAAATATTTGAAATGTCAAGGTATGGAAAAATTTATTTTAAAAAAACAAAGCAATCTTAAAATTTACCCGCCAAAAAAATGAAATAGGTTTACCGTCAACTCATCCAAAAATTTTATACAGACTTATCCTAGCCCACAATAGGAGTATCCAGGATTTTTCAAAGTTCAAAGTTAGCGGTGGATTGTAGGGTAATAATTATATAGCAGCTTAAGTTAATTTTTAGCAGGCTAAAAAAATCGGCTAAACCTAGTTTTTAGCCTAAAGCTATCACTTTGACCTTGGTATTTTTTCTTTGAAATATAGCGGCTCATATTTGAAAGAAACAAATATAAATTATAACGCCTTAATGTTAACGGACTTTCTCCGGCAGGCGCTTATAGATTGAGCGGACATTTAGTCATTACCCAACTATAGTTGTGGGTGTGAGGCTTACCCGCTCATAACCCTCTAAACACGTGACAAAAAATGCATTATTTATATAACATATTTTTGTATACTTCACCACGAATTCGCGCTTACTGTGAATTCAGGATAATCCTTGGCTAACTGCTAGTGCCGGCTAGTTTCAGAAAAATGGGATCCCTAAAAACATTCTGACGGAACTCACTACCTACCAGATGTCGATTAAATAACAACTTTTTTGTATATCTTTTTTATTAATTATTTATCAAACTGCAAAATATTTTCATTGGGTTGTGTCCTAAATTAACAAAAATTAAATTCACAAAC